ATGCTGAAATGCTATGTAATAACAATCCATGCCATCGCTGTATGCTGAAATGCCATGTACAACAATCCACGTCATCGCTGTATGCTGAAATGCCATGTACAATAATCAATGTCATCGCTGTATGCTGAAATGCTATGCAATAAAAAATCAAAGCCGTGCCGTATGCTGAAATGCCATGTACAACAATCCACGTCATCGCTGTATGCTGAAGTGCTATGTACAACAATCAATGTCATGCTGAAATGCTATGTACAACAATCCACGTCATCGCTGTATGCTGAAACGCCATGTACAACAATCAATGTCATCGCTGTATGCTGAAATGTCATTTCAATAATCAATGTCATCGCTGTATGCTGAAATGCCATGTACAACAATCCACGTCATCGCTGTATGCTGAAATGCTGTACAACAATCAAATCGCTGTCATGTACAACAATCAATGTCATCGCTGTATGCTGAAATGTCATTACAATAATCAATGTCATCGCTGTATGCTGAAACGCCATGTACAACAATCAATGTCATCGCTGTATGCTGAAATGTCATGTCATACATTACAACAATCAATGTCATCGCTGTATGCTGAAATGCCATATACAACAATCCACATTATCGCTGTGTTGTATGCTGAAACGCCATGTACAACAATCTGTGTTATCACGGTAGAACAGTCTGTCTTGTTGTCATCGCTGTATGCTGAAATGCCATGTACAACAATCCACGTCATCGCTGTATGCTAGATCGCCATATATTCTGTAAATCAAATTGTCCAGATTTTCAAATATTGATACACAGGAGAAAATGCACCTGACCGTGTCCGCTCTTTCTGTGTTGATGGCACGGAAATGGCGGTAGTAGGTCGCCCATATTTTAGTGTTGAATGTTAAATGTGGTTTTCTACAGATTCTACAAGATGGACGGAAGTTTGCTGTTGGTCTTTAATGTAGAATATTTCAGACGGCTATAAAGCAAACTATATTATTTCCGAAAGTAGTCGAGATATTTCATTGAATCTTTCACGCCTTCACTGTAATGAAGAATTGATAGGGTTTTGTTGTTGTTGTTGTTTTGTTTTTGTTCTTGTTTATTCAATTATTCAACTCTGCCAATATATGTTTATTCAGCTTAACTCGACATTAAATTATCTGGCCAGTAGTTACAAGCACCGATATGATGCCGGCAAACCATGAAACAGCATAGTTGGGATTCGAACTCATGATCTGTGTTTAAGGACTTTCAAAGGAAAACAACTATGCAACCGAATTGTGGAGCCAACCTACGATACGTCATGTCCACTGAAGTAAAACGTGTTTTTACAGCTTGTACTCTTGTTAATACCAACAAATTATCGGTTTAAATAGCCTTATCGCTTTATATTATTTATCAGCATTTATTCCGAAATGTTGTTTTCAGTTACACTAAAACATACGCTATATAATATCAATAGACTGGTGAGGTGAGGTGAGGTGAGGTGAGGTGAGGTGAGGTGAAATTCGGTTTAACGTCGTGCTTAAAGAACCACTAAACTTTGTTTTTTGTTACTCTTTTAACCATTACATATGACAGATTTGTGGTAAGTCTTATGCGGAACACCAAATTTATTCTTTAAAAACTTGTGGTTAATTAATACCGAGCGATTAAAAGTGGCCAAAAAAGTCGCCTGCTTCCCTCTCGCCCGCCAACAGAGCCACAGACAGGTTACGTAACTCTGTCGCCAGAGCACTGCAGTGACGTCATATGAGGAACGATTTTCAGTTAGTTGTATAGAAAATGTGTAGCACGCTCATCATTTTATGATTTCTCGACATCAACGACGACATGCCGAATCGTTGCTTTGTCGTCAATTGCTCCTAGGGGTCGGGCGATGGTGTCCCCATGCACAGATTTCCACAGGACCCCGCAGTTCGTGCTAAATGGGTTGTGTTTGTGAGTGCAGAAGCGAGCGTTGTGGAAGCCTGAAACGATATCTTACTTGTGTTCAGATCGCTTCACGGAAGTTAAAGAATCAAAACTACTTACTAGTTGTAGTAAAATATGCATATGATTGATGACCATAAAGATTTTCTATGACAACAACTTGTAACATAACGATTTCTTCCTCGGAAGTATGAGATTGTGGTCGAAGTAACAATAATATTGTAAGTAGTATTTATTGACATCCACCTCGCTGCCACGAGAGAGAAATTGTTATGATATACGCTATGTCATGCAAAATCCTATTGGCCATCAATAAAATACATATTTTACTACCAGTAGAAAGTAGTTTTGATTTTGTAACTCGGTGAAAACAAACCTAAATAGCATTCATCCTCAGACCGGCGGATGTTCCCGACAGGGCGCCGCCATTTTAAAAAATAAAAAATCTGTTAGAATTAATGAGATTATAGTTTGTTTTCATCAAGTTAGAAAATCAAGACTACTTTCTACTCGTTGTTAAATATGTATTGGAATCATAACCAAACGGATTTTGCATGACACAACTTATAACATAACGATTTCTTCCACGGAAGCGAGGTGGGGGTCGAAGTCACAATACTGCGCGATAAATTTCTTGCTACATTCACATGGTTAACGTCCACTCACCAGTATGTAGATACTAGTCAATGTGCGTCTTTATATTTGGTCTGGTGCATTTTGAAACTAAATAAAAAGCAGACGATCTGCTGATACTTATAGTGAATTTATAACAGAACTGTAATATCTAGACATTTTATAGTTTGCCAATGTGAATCATAATTCGCACACACACCCTAGTGCATGTTGTCTGTCTCATTACACTTCACGGCGAAAACAATGATTCTGTTGAATGCTACGACAAATGAATAAAAACAAAATGCAAATATTAAAATTAAAACAGATTAAAGTTATAGGAACAATATCAGGCCATTACCTTGTTTGAGGAATGTATCCATCAATATCCACAAAACTGTTCCAAATGATGTGTCTTTTAACAGTTTAATATACGAAAAAGTGATAAATCTTTTCAGGTATTGGTGTATAGTCTTATTGGTCACCCAAGATAGCACACCTGGCAACTAATTGCATAATGTCCGCCTTTCTTTAAAACAGTAATTTAGTTAGCCAATAATGGGCAATCAATCAATGTATTGCCGGTTAATCCTTTGAAGAAGGACGTTGTTTTTACGCAGACACCGACACGACAGAGTGTATTCAGTATAGATTAGTAAATCTACATACATAAACACTACCTTTTGACAATTCCGCTGTGTAAGATAAAAGTAATTAATCAATCAGCGTGTTATCGGTTAATCCTTTGATCGATGTTTATAATGTTGAATATTTACTCCAGACACAAGAAATGCCAAATGGGAACCTTTGTCGGGTAATCTAAGTGTGTTACCACTAATTATACCTGTTATAAATTCATTAACTGACCATCAAGTGAATGATGACAAGTAATTAAGAATATTTCGCTCATATGACGATGTGCATGCGTGTGTATGTGTATGTGCGGCTGCTTGTACTAACCCAGACTGAAGCTGGTTTTATAGTGCTAGCCCACTGAGATAACACGCCGCAGTGAAGCATGAATACCCCACTCAGACACATTATACTGACTCCGAGCCGACCAGTCCTTGTTGTACCCATTACTGCCGAGCGCCAGGCAGGGACCAACAAGTACCATATTTTAACGTCTTTTGGTATGACGCGGTCGGGATCGAACCCGCGACCTTCCGCTCTCCGGGCGGACGCTCTAACCACTACACCACGGAGGCGGTAATATGGTTTGATGTTTCATATAACTTATTGCCATACTACACACTCGAATAGCCGCAATATTGCTGACGCGACCAAAAAAACATGCACTATCTAATCTACACTGAGATGATGTCATGTCATGAGACGACCAGCAGTCACGCTGATAAAGACAACAAGACAGACCTCACCTGGGGTAATACATATACTTCCCCGATGTAGTTTTAGCGTTGCCCAAACCTGCCATGATATTTTAGTTAAAAGACGTAAATTTTATGTGGCTAATTTACATGATGATTTTATATAGCTGTATATATTTTAGGAATATTTGATGTCAATAATTGTTAAGATGTCTCTCATAAGTCGCTCAGCGACTGATCGTAGCAATTCTATATATATATATATTGTATAGGTATATGAAGTTATATGTGTTTTATATGTACTACGAGTGAGACTTAAATAAACCTGTCTGTCTGTCTGTCTGTCTGTCTGTCTGTATGATACCTATATTGCAAAAAAAGGAATCATACTTCATTGTTCATGTGGTTCAAGATATCGAGTTCAAAATTCATACGAAGCGCTCGTAGTCAATTTTTGTAGCCACATGACGGTGAATTTTTCCACCCGAGATACGTTCTGGGTGCATGGGCGGCCCAGCCATCTAAAGTTGGTTCCTATAGACGTGCCATTTGATCAACACCTTACCTGTCCGTATGGACTTCTTCAGGTGGTAAACAGGTAGAATATGTATGACTTTGTGCATTCCTCAACACCATACAGTGCGAGAAACATAGTGAAACATTGTGGTTGTGTCAGTCCTGTACGAATAATAGATGAGACCTTTACATTATATAGGAGCATTTATCTTTTAAATTACATCACATCACTTGTACCTGATCATGTTTGTGTAAAATGGAGGCAAGTTTCCCAATTGTCTTTACACCATTATTGATGGGGGCATACTGCATCAACAACGACGTCGACGGCATTAAAGGGTACTACGTCGGAGGTGCAGAGTATGTGTACACAGCACACCGACGCACTGATACAATTGATACAATTTTAACATAACTTTCAAATGGCAAAGTATTTGAACGGGAATGCTAAATTTTACTCTTTTTAAAATAATTCATTGTGGCTTCCTCTGAATGTGTGTTTTGTGTCCTATTTCTGTGTTATGTATTCAGTCTAAACGATTGTTCCAGTTTGGACAATTTCAGTTGTGTTTGTACAAGTTCTCACTCCACTACCGTTATATTCCAACAATTCAAAACCAGACCTGAATCCAAAAGAACAGTCACTTTAATACAATTTGCCCATGTGAAGAATTCCGAGTTATTCCAGGTTTATAACAATAATCATTACATCCCATACGGAAAGCAATCAAAATGAAGCCACATAGAGCTAATCTGACAGAAATATTATAAACAGGTGTCGGTAGCAGTGGCGTTTCCTTGGCGACAGGTGCGCTGCCCCCCAAGATGTACTGTAACTCTGCTTGTGGTCTATAGCCAATAATCCAAATCAATCAACACAATTGGCTATTTGTCAAACAGCAGCTATAAACTAAGCCCGCTAACTGCTAGCCCTTACCTAATTTATTTATGGCCCAGACGTAAACATAATATTTGTGCATGAGCAACAGCGATGCAATGTTTGTTTACAAACATACACATTCCTGAGCCTTAACTAAAAACGTATTCCTTACCGAATTAAGTAAAATGCCATGCGTTGTGTGGTGTCCTTCAGAATGAGAACTTTATAGTCTATTATTTCATAATTGGACGGTATGATATTGAAGATTAAAGTGGTTTGACTGTAGACTGACTGACTGAGTTTTGTTTTACGCCGCTTTTAGCAATATTCCAGCAACATCACGGCGGGGGACACCAGAAATGGGCTTCACACATTGTACCCATGTGGGGATTCGAACCCGGGTCTTCGGCGTGACGAGCCAACGCTTTAACCATTAGGCTACCCCACCGCCCCGGTTTGACTGTAGACCATGTTTATTGAGAAGAGAGGCTAAATAACTTTAGGCTCAGTGTTACTAAGGATACCAGTGTAACGAATAATACTGAACCTAAGTTTACTTAGACTGGTTGAGAAGAGTGTGTTTAACGCCTTTATCACCATGTTAGTCCTTCATCATCATGGCGCACAGCAAGAGTGGACTTCATGCATGTGGGGTATCGAACGCGTGTATTGGGCTTGGCGAACAAACACTACCCACTAGGCTACCATCCTCCCCATCAACATAAAGGAGGAATGCAGTTATAATAATTGATAGTGAGAGCATTAAGAGGTGTGTGTGTGTGTGTGTGTGTGTGTGTGTGTGTGTGTGTGTTATATGACTAGAGCATGCATATATTCAAATCTGAAGCAAACAACCAGGTGATTGATATCAAGAGCAAACAGGACAGCGCCAGGGTACCATGAAATACAATCCACCAGGTCGACTAGCTTCACTAGCCACAAGAGATATTCTAACTGGGATTGCAGACACACGCCCAAGACAAGTTATGATTTTTAAGTTATGCTTTTGATATGGTGGAAGTATGACAGAAGATCCTTATAATCACATTAATGTCATGTAAGTTCGCGCGGTGGTGCCACCTGTCGTCAGGCTCAGGCGTCGACGTTGCCACAATCGGTCGAGAAAGTATATAGCAGGCATTTCCGCTTTATGATGTCTTGCTTTTAGGTGTAGGCACATGTTGTCGTCACAGAATGTCGTTCATGTAGATCCAGGCACCCACGTTGCCATCACTTTAATGTCGTGCATGTAGGTGTAGGTACACATAGATTGTCGTCACAGAATGTCGTTCATGTAGATCCAGACACCCACGTTGCCATCACTTTAATGTCGTGCATGTAGGTGTAAGCACACACATAGCCGTCACAGAATGTCGTGCATGAAGGTGTAGGCACACACATAGCTGTCACACAATTCGTGCATGTAGGTGTAGGCACAAACACATTTTTATCACGTAATGTCGTGCATGAAGGTGTAAGCACACACACGTAGCCGTCACAGAATGATGTGCATGTAGGTGTAGGCACACACACGTTGCCGTCACAGAATGTCGTGCATGTAGGTGTAGGCACACACACATAGCCGTCACAGAATGATGTGCATGTAGGTGTAGGCACACACACGCAGCCGTCACAGAATGTCGTGCATGTAGGTGTAAGCACACACACGTAGCCGTCACAGAATGATGTGCATGTAGGTGTAGGCACACACACATTGTCGTCACAGAACGTCGTGCATGTAGGTGTAGGCACACACGTTACCGTGCCCGGTCCCAATCCACAGCCTCCCCCGATTATCGACGGTCACAGCAGTTGGCGATCCGATGTCTTGAAAATCCTCCTTATTGAGCAGGTAAGACAAAAAATGTCCATCCTTACTGACCAGCTGGACATTGCATCTCTTGCTGTCGGCAACGATGAGGTGGCCCAGTTTGTCGTAACAGACGCTCCTAGGGTACAAGACGCCATCTGGTCCATGGTAGTCACACTTGTACTGGAAGGACGGAGTGAGGATAACGATCATGTCTCGTCTACTGATGCACAAAGCGACCTCGCCGTCAGGTCCGACGCTGAAGCTTGGGATGTCAAAGTCGCTTGCAAGCTGCGGAGGAAGGTCCACGTCAACGACGTCCTTGCCATGATTGCATATGATCAGAAGTCTGGGAGCCCCTTGGCACATCTGAGGCACCAGAATTCTTTGTCCATCTATGGTACTAGCTATGGAGGGCATGGGGCCCGGGACTGGGGCAAAGTTTGACCAGTTGTCCTGATACACGATCTTGTTGGTATTACCCTGTACAACGGCTACGAGGAGTCTCCCGTCTGGCCCTCCGGTAATGCTCTCTATATCGCTTGTAAGATGCACACTATTCTTACGTTCGCCGTTGACTCCAATGGTGAGCAGGGATCGAGGAGTAGAGACCCATACAATGCCGTTGGAGCCTTCAACGATCCCCCTGACCGACGGTTTGGTGCAATGCATCTCCCAAATATGAAACGCTACTTCTCTTTTGAGGCGTATTTCTCGTATGAATGCCCGTCTCCCCGGGATATTGGTTACAGGGGGCCACGTCACGGAGAAGGCCACCCGGCCTAAAATGTTGTCGGCGGTATTGCAGGTAAACCGTGGGTTTTTCGCCAGGAAGAACTCAGCATGTCCCTTCTGGAAATCGACAAGCTGACAGACAGGTGTCACTGACTGCCTCATCATTTCAAGCTTCACCATGACGTCAACCCCATCCTGGCTGACAAGTACGTGGTCAGCCAGCGCAGTGAAGTCAGACGCAGACAACAGCCGCTGTCGCAGAAACTCCTCCATCTGCTTCAAGCGCTTCATTTCATCCTCCTTGGTCGACGCTATCATCTGAGTCAGCTCCTGGTAGGACTTCTCCACCCTTTGGAGCACCGCTGTATGGAGCTTGTCAATCACATCGGATACCTTCTGGACTTTATCCAGGAATTCAACATGGTACGTCCTCAAATCCTCTATTTCCCTTTCTGACCGATGGACGCTGTTCTGAACCCTCTTTAAAAGCCGCTCTGCTTCCTTTTTAGCATTATCCAGTTCGTCCGCCAGGTCTACGGCCTTGTGGTCCTTGTGAGCGGTCAGGATGCAGTCTCTACACACGGCTTGCTTACAAGTCTGGCAGTAAAACTTCAGTGGTTCGTTGTGCTTCTGACAGTTCGTATTAGATCTGGCAGGGACGACAATTTCACTGGTGGCCCCTGGCTCGAACAGGAGGATTTTATGAGAAGCTGTGACTCTAAGCCTTTGGTGATAGTTAATACAGTTAGTACAGAGGTCTTCACAACAATTCATGCACCTGCCTTCCGCATGGTGACCCTCCTCACACAACCCACAATACCTTGCGTGAACCGAGTGCCCCCCGTCTCCTTCCGCTCTTTCGATCCCACCTTTCTCAACCTCTTGCACGTGGTCAACATTGATATCACTGTTTCCGCCATCAGTCGTAACTGGCTGATCTCCACCTTCACTGATGCGTTCACTACGAGGTGTCCGTGTTTCATTTTGTCCGCCATCTTGACCCGCGTGTACTCCATCCTCTTGAGCATCAACACCACTATTTTGTACTGTTTCTGAATAGGTGTCAGTCATTGTTTCTCGTGGAAACAATAAAATGCCCTACAGCGAGTGAAACGTATTGTCATGAAGAAACACTCACTGATTCACCAGCCTTTGTGTGACTTCATATAGATAATGGTGGTGAACGTACTTGTGTATCGTGATAAGGTGAATATAAAGATACGCTCTAGTCACTGTATTTATCTGTTCACTGTGTGTGGAGCATCCAGTGCAAACTACTGCTTCGTCATTGCCGTCACAAGAGATAGCTATATATCCTGAACTTGTTGGTTTGTCTTTGACGCAGCTGTCAGCAACATGTAAATAACGGAATCACGTGACTGATATTACGAGTATCGATCTACGCATTTGGGGATACTGTGGCATGCATCGACCAAGTCAGATTCTGACCACCAATTCTGTTAGTCACCCTGTATCAAGTATTGGATCCTGAAGACGAATTCAAACAGCATCTTCACGTGGATCCTGATCTAGAATATGTTTATAATAATTCATAAATTCCAGCTTATTAGGGTTGTGCATTATAACCGGTTTACCGGTATTTACCGGTTCAGATATGAAAACGATGCGTATTGCGATACGCTGATCGAAAACCGGTATTTTGACATGCATTCGGAAAACTTCGTAACACTCGGATATTCACAAGTCAAGTTAAGTTCGGTTTGAAGTTGTGTTCTTAATTGTTGTTCAAGTGTTTTGCAAGGTTTTGGATCTTAATGTTTTAAATATTTACTCATTAATGACCAGTGATCTCTGATATGTCCTGACCAGGTCAAGTTGCTGTCTAAAATCTCAGGGATTTTTTTGTGAGAGTGGAGAACTAGTTCAAACTAGTAACCACTGTGTTGATGTTAAATTGTTCTTTTCCTTGTTTCATTTGTGCCAAATATTATTTATATTTATATTTTGTCATTATTAAAAGCTTTTATTAAAGCTTAATCAAGCATAGTGATTTTGTTGTGTTTTTGCTTTATATCTCAAGCATTAACTCGATTATAAGCATAATTTTGTTAAAAACACCTTGTTGCAATATGTTGCAATACATGTCGCAATATATGCTTTCGCATCGCAATAAATCGCAATATGAAAATTCTCTGCAATACCCATCCCCTACAGCTTATGTAATATTCTGTCAAAACACATTTTCAAGTTTAGTTCAAATTCAAAACATCAAATTGCTTCACTAGAAGTGGCAATGTTGAGCATGTAGATGGAGACACACACGTTGCCGTCAACAGTTTGTTTTCCTCCATGCGTAGAGAGAGTGGCAACCCTCTGTTGTACCCTGCCTATCGTTATCATTGTAATGATAACACTCGTCACCTCCCTTGACCCAGCTAACAGTAAACACCAGTACTTTCTGATCCGTATCAGTGATATACGCTCAGCAGGGAACTGCCTGTACGTGACACGTTATGACTGACACACTATCTTGAACATATGCGTTTGTTGCCATGACAACGTAACTTCATTTGTGAATCCGTTCGCTCTGAACAGCTGGCCGATCCACTGATTCTAGGTTGGAATCCCAGGTCGATTCTAATTATGATCCCTCTTTTCTGCAGATTGTCACTTCCTTGGAGCTCCCTGTACAATCCGACAGAAAATATCTTTATTTGGTTGATTGCCTTACCAATGACTGTTCTGACAACAGATCTGAACAGCGGTATATTTTACACATACAGTACAGAACAGAAAGAATGCGACTTTTCACAGAAGTAATTATTTTCAAATTCACAGATACACTGTATTTTACATACACGTACTTTGGAAACGAAAGTTTAAGAAAATGTAGTCAATAGTCTGTTAGTGCGCCGTTTCTCTCCATACACTGTTGGATGCGGCGTTCCATGCTGTTTATCAAATTGTCTGTGCATTCCTGGGATAGATCTTTACATATTTGATTGATGAGGTTGGATTATTCCACGACTCTCTTTGGTTCTAGTTTGTCCTGCCACATTTTCAATGGGGTCCGGTGATGCGGCTGGAACTTTCTGTAAAGTCACGTGATTAATCTCAAACCAGTTACAGGTGTGTCTTGACTTGTGTACAGGTGCATTGTCCTGTAAAATGTTGAAAGGTTTTCCGCTCTGACCTGTGTGTGATCCCACTATACCCTCTTGTATAAGATGGCAGTACTTGAGTGAACCCATCCTTCCTGTAATAGTCAGAGGCGTTACTCAGAGTTTGCTAATACTACCCCAAATCACGACACTTGGTGAGAACTTCGGAACCACTTTACATCAACGACCACCTCTTGACCTTCTTTTTCTGGTGATCCTATAAAACTGGAACTTTGATTCGTCTGTAAAATTCACATTTGAAAAGCCTTTACCCTGCATGTCTGTGCACCATTGGAGCTTTTCCTCCATATGCGCTGCTGTCATTAATGTGATTTGGGGGCCTGGCAAACCAGCTGTGTCAGCAGTATTCATGCTAAATCATGTGGACTGTAAATATACAGATTTGGGCCTGGCAAACCAGTTGTGTCAGCAGTATTTATGCTAAATCATGTGGACTGTAAATATACAGATTTGGGCCTGGCAATCCAGTTGTGTCAGCAGTATTTATACTAAATCACATGGACTGTCAATATACAGATTTGGGCCTGGCAATCCAGCTGTGTCAGCAGTATTTATGCCATATCACGTGGACTGTAAATATACAGATTTGGGGGCCTGGCAAACCAGCTGTGTCAGCAGTACTTATGCTAAATGACGTGGACTGTAAATATGCAGATTTGGGCCTGGCAAGCCAGCTGTGTCAGCAGGAGCAAGGATTCATGCAGTCAAGTAGGGAAGCCACACAAGGTCACACACTGTGACCATTCTCAGAGTAAGTCATCTTCCCTTACAAGCATGGGGTGTTGGGCATCTATTCGTACCACACACCCAGACACTCCTTCAAACCTTGTACTGAATAACAAACCAGCCATCAGCTAATATATTCTTTATTGTGTGTAGAGAATGTAAAATACATAAATCGGTCTTGATAAATATTTTGGCATGAATATTTCCCTGACTGAGTTAGTCAATAAGGACATGAATGTTATAGACAACAATCTCGTAAACCCATCCCTCTTGTTCTCAAGTTATCGCTCTGTGAGATTACACTGTCAAGCTTTCTGCAAGGAGATTCAAATCTCAGAGTATGATATACAAAACACACATCTCAGAGTATATGAGTAACTATATATACAGCTATATATATATAATGAATATTAAAGCTTTGAAAACAGATCTTCATTCCGTGAATGAGACGTTGTCACAATGCGAGCGAACAAAGTAAGTAACTTGGGGTCTGTACTGCTTTGAACAATATTTCAGTTGTAAGGTTGTCTTAAATGTTTACCCCTTTTGTGAAACCCATCTGCTGGTATAGCACTGACAATCCTTGGAATATGATCAGAGCAATTCTGAGATTCAAAGCATGATACTTGTTTTCTGGCATTCAAGAGATCAGTACAACTGTTATTAATATTAAACACATCCTTCAGCAATATCTCCTGTCTCATTACAATCGTGATCTTTGTGCTCACTACACATAGCATGAAGACACCTATGACAGGTCAGAACCACCTTTCATGCAATAAGCAGGCAGTGAAAGTAACAGTCTGAGTGTAATTTAAAATCATGCAACCTCAAAATGGTTAACAAGAAGGTTGGAGACTTTCACAGTCATCGACCTTCCCTCAGGTAAACAAAGGTTAATCTCAGTATTACACTAAAGTTTGATTGCCACCTGATACCTGACTTGCTAATTACTACACACATTAGCATAGATCCACTTTCATAAAACATAACAATAACACTTCACGCCAGACAAAAGTGTATGATTAGTGAGGCCAATATTAACATCCCTTGGCAGTGTTTTCAGGACTGTAACACAAACAATGGGTTCACACCACTACAAGACATCTACACAAGGCACAGCACCTTCCTCCTACAGTCAGCAACAACCTACACACTGCGTCATCATGACTGTTCTGTCAGCTTATAGTGAACTTCAGATAATGCCCGTAGTTTCTCAGCAGCCTGTGAATGAAACATTGTACATACTAAAGTTTGAACATTTACGATATGAGGCTTGATGACATTCTGTAGCTCATAGGGCTGTAACGATGCATCGAAATATTGATGGATTGCAATTGTTGAGTCTCCGATAGCAATTAATCGATTGTAGAAACGAATTGACTTCCATTGATAAATGCACAGCGCAAAATTGTTATCAAATATTTATGTTGTTTTGTATTTTTTTATTGTTTGGTTGCAGACTTGCAGCTACATTGAGTTTATGTTTTAACTGTTTACTTGATCTGGGTTTTAAGTTTCTTGTCAGTTATCAAAAGAGACTGAAACTACTTCATTTTGTTTATATTACATATAAACTATACATTCATTTGGGAAATGACTTCGAATGAAACAATTCAAAGAGAAAAAACCTATTGCAATAGTTGGTCGCAATAGACTATCACTATCGCAATAGTACGCTACTATATTCTATCGCTATCGCAATAGTACGCTACTATAGACTATCGCTATCGCAATAGTACGCTACTATAGACTATCGCTATCGCAATAGTACGCTACTATAGACTATCACTATCGCAATAGTACGCTACTATAGACTATCACTATCGCAATAGTACGCTACTATAGACTATCACTATCGCAATAGTACGCTACTATAGACTATCACTATCGCAATAGTATAGCTACTATAGACTACTATAGACTATCACTATCGCAATAGTACACTACTATACTATCACTACTATAGTACACTATCTATCACAATCGCAATAGTACACTACTATAGACTATCACTATCGCAATAGTACGCTACTATAGACTATCACTATCGCAATAGTACGCTACTATAGACTATCACTATCGCAATAGTACGCTACTATAGACTATCACTATCGCAATAGTTGTTTCCCCTCAATAGTCACCCATGTAGCTCACCTCCATTATTACAACATTATAGATCAAGTCCTGATATTTTGCAAATCTAAATAATACATGAATACACAATTCCTTTTAGAAAATGGTCAAATGGTAACACGTTCTATATGGGATTACACTTTCTCAGTAAAGTAAAGATTTTAAAGTCACATCTGGACTTCGAGGGTGTTATCACAAGTACCACATGTTTCTGTCCACAAGTACACAAGAGACACTTTATGCCACAGAACACAGTTAATGGATGAGTCTTAAAAATGATAGCAATATCTAAAATCAACCCACCTGTTCTGCTGTAAGATTCCCAACTACAGTTTAACCCACCTGTTCTGCTGTAAGATTCCCAACTACAGTTTAACTCACCTGTTCTGCTGTAAGATTCCCAACTACAGTCAAACTCACCTGTTCTGCTGTAAGATTCCCAACTACAGTTTAACCCACCTGTTCTGCTGTAAGATTCCCAACTACAGTTTAACCCACCTGTTCTGCTGTGAGATTCCCAACTACAGTTTAACTCACCTGTTCTGCTGTAAGATTCCCAACTACAGTCCAACTCACCTGTTCTGCTGTAAGATTCCCAACTACAGTCCAACTCACCTGTTCTGCTGTAAGATTCCCAAATACAGTTTAACTCCACCTGTTCTGCTGTAAGATTCCCAACTACAGTCCAACTCACCTGTTCTGATGTAAGATTCCCAACTACAGTCCAACTCACCTGTTCTGCTGTAAGATTCCCAACTACAGTTTAACTCACCTGTTCTGCTGTAAGATTCCCAACTACAGTCCAACTCACCTGTTCTGCTGTAAGATTCCCAACTACAGTCCAACTCACCTGTTCTGCTGTAAGATTCCCAACTACAGTCCAACCCACCTGTTCTGCTGTAAGATTCCCAACTACAGTTTAACCCACCTGTTCTGCTGTAAGATTCCCAACTACAGTCCAACTCACCTGTTCTGCTGTAAGATTCCCAACTACAGTTTAACTCACCTGTTCTGCTGTAAGATTCCCAACTACAGTCCAACTCACCTGTTCTGCTGTAAGATTCCCAACTACAGTCCAACTCACCTGTTCTGCTGTAAGATTCCCAACTACAGTCCAACCCACCTGTTCTGCTGTAAGATTCCCAACTACAGTTTAACTCACCTGTTCTGCTGTAAGATTCCCAACTACAGTTTAACCCACCTGTTCTGCTGTAAGATTCCCAACTACAGTCCAACTCACCTGTTCTGCTGTAAGATTCCCAACTACAGTCCAACTCACCTGTTCTGCTGTAAGATTCCAACTAACTACAGTTTAACCCACCTGTTCACCTGTTCTTGCTGTAAGATTCCCAACTACAGTCCAACTCACCTGTTCTGCTGTAAGATTCCCAACTACAGTCCAACTCACCTGTTCTGCTGTAAGATTCCCAACTACAGTTTAACCCATCTGTTCTGCTGTGAGATTCCCAACTACAGTTTAACCCACCTGTTCTGCTGTAAGATTCCCAACTACAGTCCAACCCACCTGTTCTGCTGTAAGATTCCCAACTCACAGTTCCTGTAAGAACTCACCTGTTCTGCTGTGAGATTCCCAACTACAGTTTAACCCATCTGTTCTGCTGTAAGATTCCCAACTACAGTCCAACCCACCTGTTCTGCTGTAAGATTCCCAACTACAGTCCAACTCACCTGTTCTGCTGTAAGATTCCCAACTACAGTTCAACTCACCTGTTCTGCTGTAAGATTCCCAACTACAGTTTAACCCACCTGTTTCTGCTGTAAGATTCCCAACTACAGTCCAACCCACCTGTTCTGCTGTAAGATTCCCAACTACAGTCCAACTCACCTGTTCTGCTGTGAGATTCCCAACTACAGTTTAACCCATCTGTTCTGCTGTGAGATTCCCAACTACAGTCCAACCCACCTGTTCTGCTGTAAGATTCCCAACTACAGTCCAACTCACCTGTTCTGATGTAAGATTCCCAACTACAGTTCAACCCACCTGTTCTGCTGTAAGATTCCCAACTACAGTCAAACTCACCTGTTCTGCTGTAAGATTCCCAACTACAGTCCAACCCACCTGTTCTGCTGTAAGATTCCCAACTACAGTTTAACCCACCTGTTCTGCTGTGAGATTCCCAACTACAGTTCAACTCACCTGTTCTGCTGTAAGATTTCCAACTACAGTTCAACTCACCTGTTCTGCTGCAAGATTCCCAACTACAGTTCAACCCACCTGTTCTGCTGTAAGATTCCCAACTTCAGTCCAACTCACCTGTTCTGCTGTAATATCTCTCTGTGACTGGGCCAGCATCTCATACCCAACCATGAACTTTTTCACTGTTGCTGACCTCAACAAGGGTGGATAATACAGTGCATGAAGTTGCCAGTGCTGGTTGTCTCCCTTTAGACGCTCTCCAGTGGGTGCACCTGAGACGAAACATGAAATTTGTGGAATCATTATCAAGCAATCAGTAGTGACAGGATCAGATGCAGGCAGCCTAAACCTTCTTGTCCAGTGAGAAACAGGCTGTCTGCTTATAACACTGAAATATCCTAAACATAGATTCCATTCAATATCAGCAATATCCATGTTTCCAGTATTCTAACCAGTGTATGAAATAAGCCAAAAACACAGCCAGACATCCAGGCTGGTAACTTCAAAATGTTACCAGCAATGGTAACTTCAAAATGTTACCAGCCCAAAATGGATTTAAACAGACCAGGCAATACAAAGATAATAATAATTTTTAGTTACAATGAATAATTTACTTAATTTAAGACATATATTTACTCCGCGCATCGATAGGTGTCTCTGTTTGACTTTGAGTATGTCAACACAGTGCTTTGAGCTTGCGATACAATAGTTCAATGTTCAAACAGTAATTGTCAAGTCTAAATGTAACGCTCAGTTTCAAAAATAGATTTTAAGATATGGTGAATTTACTCAGATGTATGAAACATGTTATCTAAATTTTTTACCACACCATCGCGCTGGCTAGCTGTATATTTAGACCGTCCGTCAGCAATTCTAGCACATCTTGGGAGGTCGGACAGGCCTTATTTCATACACTGTTATAACGCCTGACAATGTCTGGTAATACTCACCATGCCAACCCATGGAGTAGGGAAACGACACATCAAACATGTTGTCGTACTTGGACAGCAGTTTCTTCATGATATCAGCTAACGCTGTAAACCAAGACAGTATACGTGAGTGGACTTATCACAATAGTCCAGCTATGGTGGCCTGGAAATGGTCAAATCTTGATCAGGTAAACAAGTAACTGTTATCTGAATGTGCTACAGCACCTGATGAAACAGAATGAACTATATCACACATTGTGATCAGATGAAACAGAATGAACTATATCACACATTGTGATCAGATGAAACAGAATGAATATATCACACATTGTGATCAGATGAAACAGAATGAACTATATCACACATTGTGATCAGATGAAACAGAATGAACTATATCACACATTGTGATCAGATGAAACACAATGAACTATATCACACACTTGGAATGCGGGGAATCGAACCCGGGTCTTTGGCATGACGAGCGAATGTTTTGACCACTAGGGTACCCTATTGCCCCATATCACACACTGATATTCTATAGGGCAGTCATCACCAACAGCAGACTTACTTAAGGGATCCCTTCTGTCTAGGATTCCCCATGGGGATCAACACACTGGTGATTACACTGTCAGGCTTTTCTCAGGCTATATCTGAACTATACTCAAGAAAATACACAAATAAAGAAAGATTTCAGCTGTCAGTATAAGAAGATTGGTACCTTGTTGCCAATTATACTGTTGCCCATGGTATCAATGCCTGAAAGACTTACACACCAGCCTGTTGTCATAAGGCAACAATTAATGAAACTAACTTTTGTTTCATAGTTATTTCCAGCCGCAGCAATATTCTAGCTATATGATGGCTGCCTGTCGACATATACTGGACCAGTTAAGAAGGTTATGATTATGAGTCTGCTCAACCATGTTGTTTATTCTTGAAACATGTGAGGTGAGCTACTGTACCCTAGTGTCCCTACAGGGTAGTCATATTATAAGTTGTTCACTGGTCTCGAGGGGGCTGATGTACCCTCGATGTTTGTTTATGTTCCCTGAGCCCGAAGGACCACTGAACAACATATTCATCTTACCAAACACCTCAATGGTAATTTTGAACTGTTTGAAGCACGGGTATCGGACCATAGTATGGAGTACCAGACGATAAGACGACAAGAAAAACAAATTTAGATTCATCTCCCTTCCATGGATTTGCATTCGCAAAACCTCGGTAATTGCCGTACATAATACGTGATTCACTGTTATTCGAATTAATAATTACTACTACGAAGTACCAAATGAGTTCGGCATTCACAGCAGGGTACATAGAAAATGTTACTCGCTTGTAAGCAGGGTACATTGAAAATAGTAGAAGAGCGCTCAGCCAATCAGAAAACGACATTTGTGTGAGGCAACATAAATAGAAATGTGCCATTATTGATGTGACTGTACAGCAATATTCTGCTTGGGTATGCTGGTGGATTGGACAATACACTCTGAGGAAAGACACTTTGTTCAGCCACAACTCACAGTCTCTCTCAGTGTCTGTGAGGTCTTCGATTCGCAGGACGTGACGTTTGGGCAGCAGCATTGTCTCATATGGCCAGACAGCCCAGTAAGGGACAAGCCACACCCAGTGGTCATTCTCCAGCACAACACGCTCCTGAAACAATACAAACACTAGAAAACAAAAGTTTGGTTTTCACAGCGGCATCATGCACAACATTAGCAATGAAATAACAGGAAGACTGGAAACAGCATATTGAGCATAAGCTATAACAACATTCTCAAACAGCAATGAGGTAACAGAAATACACACCCTCAAATCAGAACATACCACAGAAACAACATTCTCCAGCACATCATCCATGAGGTTACAGAAATACATGCCATCAAATCACACATGCCTTAAACAACAGAACAACATCACATCACATGTTACAGAAATATACACCCTCCAAATCAACCGCGTCTTAAACAACAGAAACAACATTTCTCCAGCAGAAATACATCATCCATGAGGTCAAGCACAGCATCCATGGGGTAACAGAAATACACACCCTCCAAATCAGAACATACCTTAAACAGAAACAACATTCTCCAGCACAAATACATACCCTCCAAATCAACACATGTCTTAAACAACAGAAACAACAGTCCTAATCTGTCTCTGCAAGAGCCAACCAACAGCAGGTGAGTAGAGTGTTCCACCATACAAGCATAAGCATAGCTCAACCAAAAACTGTCCAAGTCACTCACAGGCCATTTTGTGGATTCTGCCAACTGTTGCTTAGGCACATTGCCTGTCTACAAGTTACAACATAAATCCCAAACACAGTAAGTCGGGCAGAGGTGACCACTTACCTTCTTACTGAGTTCCTTTTCTGTATAATCCACCAGCATGGGTTTGTTGTACTTGTCGTAGAATTCCTTCTGTGTCTTGTCCTTCACAGACAGTTCATTGGGCAGGAAGGAGCTGCACCACACCTGCAACAGGGCTGATTACTGACACCTGCAATAGGGCTGATTACTGACACCTGCAATACAGCTGATTACTGACACCTGCAATACAGCTGATTACTGACACCTGCAACAGGGCTGATTACTGACACCTGCAATAGGGCTGATTACTGACACCTGCAATAGGGCTGATTACCGACACCTGCAATACAGCTGATTACCGACACCTGCAATAGGGCTGATTACTGACACCTGCAATAGGGCTGATTACTGACACCTGCAATACAGCTGATTACCGACACCTGCAATACAGCTGATTACTGACACCTGCAATAGGGCTGATTACTGACACCTGCAATACAGCTGATTACCGACACCTGCAATACAGCTGATTACTGACACCTGCAATAGGGCTGATTACTGACACCTGCAATAGGGCTGATTACTGACACCTGAGGGCTGACCAACACCTGCAATAGGGCTGATAACTGACACCTGCAATAGGGCTGATTACTGACACCTGCAATAGGGCTGATTACTGACACCTGCATACAGCTTATTACTGACACCAATACCTGCAAATAGGGCTGATTACTGACACCTGCAATAGGGCTATTAGACACCTGATTACTGACACCTGCAATACAGCTGATTACTGACACCTGCAATAGGGCTGATTACTGACACCTGCAATAGGGCTGATTACTGACACCTGCAATACAGCTGATTACTGACACCTGCAATAGGGCTGATTACTGACACCTGCAATAGGGCTGATTACTGACACCTGCAATAGGGCTGATTACCGACACCTGCAATACAGCTGATTACTGAACATGCTGCTTGTGCTTGTTGTTTTATACCACACTCACTCCTTTTACAGATATTGAACAATTCACCAAACAATCCAGTGACTCATATCGTTAGCCATGGATGTAAGGATGACACACAATCACCTAGGTGATGTAGCCTGACCACCCCATCCATTTTGTTTCCTCTTGTCATCAGTATTCCTAACAAGGCAGTGGTGAGCTGCATCAGGTTTCACCCTATAACTATACATCATCCTAATGGAGGCCCAAACTAATGAAGATCACAGATGTTTAACATATAGTCGGCACTGGAACGATGCTAACAGACCAGGGCCCGTTCCTCAAAGCGATCGTAGCGCTATGCCAATCATAACACTATGTTAAAGTATGGGGGTTACGATCGTCTTAGCAATACGCTCGCTTTGAGGAATGGGGCCTAGGAATCATAAATTTGGATAGAAACCCATGCAGATCCTGATGCAGATTAGGGATGTAACTCTACACAGAGTGATGCAGTGCCTCAGACCACTGTGCCACCCTGCTCCCTACCTGTGACAAGGAGTCTTGGATTTCCCCAGATATGTAAGTTCACAAGATATACAGTCCAAATCAGAACATAGATCATGAATTACCCGCCAAACAAAAATGACAGTGCATTTGCTTCATTCTTTTTAAGTAACACAGTGAAGATATCAGGTCATGCAATACACTAATTTAGTCCCTCCAAAGCAGCTCTGTATGCTTACACATTAGTCACCTGTTGCAGGGAGTTTAAGCATTTGGCATAACTATAATACTACCATAATCCATAAACAACTGGGTAAAGATATGCTTATAATGTATGACACAAATTTCTTCAAACTTTATCATTAATATTAAACACTTGTTAATCATGACAGGAATCAATGATCTCTTGAACCACGGCCTATGTCATTCTGTTCCCTGGTAACCTCAGGTTACTATGGTTACCTGGCAGTGAGGGTGAGGGTTGGAACATCCCATCATTGCTCCCTTGTTCTCAAACAACTGAAAACCAAATGATATCAGTTAGTGTAGGTTCGTAAAGCCCCTTCCCACTTTGTGTTATGCAGGTGAGAGAATGCTGTTTGATGGCACTCATCATGCAACATGCATAGAATCCACATCGGACAACATCAGCAATCTAGAAATAACTTTAAAATGCTAAACAGTGGCAATGTAAAAGGCCCTGATCATTTTTTCCACTATACCGGGCCAGCTTATTTATTTTTAAATAACAGCATTATTAAACTGGAAAATCAACTGGGGATACATGATATACAAATTTGCTGCCCGACAGAAAAAGCACTGGACACGGGCAATGGGTTATTTCCACCTCTGTGACTGGGGATGTTAGGATGCTGGGAAGCCACCAAGCTTGACGCTACCATCTGTCACTCCCCTGGCTTCATCACCACTATCGGGGCGGTGGGGTAGCCTAGTGGTTAAAGCGTTGGCTTGTCACGACGAAGACCCGGGTTCGATTCCCCACATGGGCACAATGTGTGAAGCCCATTTCTGGTGTACCCCGCCGTGATATTGCTGGAATATTGCTAAAAGCAGCGTAAAACCATACTCACTCACTCACTCATCACCACTATCAGTGGGGACAAGGACAGTGCTATTATAAGAATCATGGAAACATGACCTCAAACCCAGAATAGCATGGCATGTTATAAAACTGTCTATGGGAATACCATTACTGTAAATACTCGAATTCATTACTACTGATTCACTATTCTTTTTATTTCCAAGACAAATTAAGTCTTGCTTGTTTCATCTGATAGGGTCTTGACTACATATGGAATAGCACCACACTTTCTCCATACATTCTACCTATACAAAGTACAAGGGAGAGTATTAGAGAAGGGTCTTGACAGGTATCACAGTCATCACTTGTAGACAGAATGGTCAATCAGTTGCATCATGCATGGTTGTAAAGCTTCAAGCAGAGTGTTGAGCTGTAAGGAGCTTGCTATCCTGTCCTGGAGACAACGTCTATGACAGAGTACCCTGCAACTAATTTAGTGGTATGTAGATGTTGTCACCTGCACCCACAGGAACTTCTTGCCCAGGTCCACATTCAGCTCCGCCCAGGCGTCGATGACCTTGCGCACCTCGGTGTGAGACATGATGGGGAGGGTGAGATCAGACCAGGGGTGGAAACACATCACCTTGCAGGTGCCATACGCTGGTGCAGCCTGGAACAGTGGGTCATCACTCGGGGCTGTGGACAAAATACAGAACATACTTCTCAAGTGATAACCTTTAACAACTGGTATGGACAGACAATATTAGTTAACACAGTTACCATTGGGATCGGTAGAAACAAAATATTGCAATGTCTGGCCAGGGTCTTACTGATGAAGGTGATAAAGGACAATAGTTAATGAGTGTTTCTTGATTCGTGAAACTGCATCGAGTTTGTTAAACTATTAATTCTGATAAACATGCAACATTTCCTACCCCATAAGGGAAAACAACCTAAATACATATGACATATTCAAGATATAGCACACTCTTGAACTTGTGACCAGTATAAAATCTTTACCTTGAGTGGAGCAAGGGAGACAACCCAACTTAGCATTTCAAAGTGAAATTGGGTGCCTATGGGCCACCTGTTGGCCAGCACATGAACAATAACACCACAACCACCATGGAACTGAAGCACTGTCATTGTTAAATGTTGTAAGTAATTAATTCCCACAAATCCCTCTTTCTTCCTTGTCAGTTGAGAGAAGAAACACACTTTATGTTGATTGATGTTGTAAACATCACTGGAAGTATAAGAAGTTGTGTGGGTGAAAAGTACTTAAAATTTTTAGATTTAGTTCAAATAACAAATAACAGTATTAATAATAATATTTAAGTGTCTGGGACCCCCATTTTGTTGTCCAGGACCCCTGAAAATTAAGAGTATGAGTCCCAGGGACCCTCCAATACAGGACTCCATGTAAATCCCTGTGTTACTTCCCTTGATCAAACATCACAACTGTTACAATTGTTTTGTCATTCATGAGATTCTGCCCATATATGTATGGTCTTACAATGATTTGATAGAATTTGTAGCAATTTAAAGAACTACCTTGCTCAACTCGATCTACTGATTAACTGATAACCAGACTGATCTAGGTATCACAGCCGGGAGTTATAGTGTTCATAGCAAGCAAGGATACTCAAGGCTTACCCTACAGCCTTTGAAGCTAGACACCCTAAGGCCAAAAACAAAGTTGCGGTTCCGATTACACCTCTTTAAAATTTAGGGTAGGTAGGTAGGTAGGAAGGAATATTTGTTTTTACATTTATTTTTAGAAGTAAAGTATGAACTAATAACACATTTATCAATGTGTAATTGTTTATTCAATCAAGCTTGCGGCCATCATGTCGACATGCTCTATCAGAATGACCGATGTCCACTGGTGCTGGGAAAACAAAGGTATCTGAATGCTTATTTTATTCATACCTCGTAAAACAAACTAGGGTCGGCACCAGAATTGAGGGTCGGTCAGGTAATCAGAATAACAACACTTTTTTTTAGGCCTAAATATTACATGGCAAATGGCACCACTGTGTCATCCATGTCCTAAAACCTTGAAGAATCTTCTGGTTCCTGTTAATTATATGTGCAGCTGATATGGTAAAAATAAGAGCTTGTATAATCAATCTTAAATAAACTAAATAAGTGAACTTACGAGGAGCAGGACCCTCTTCAAGCATGGCTGGGAAGTCATTCTTAAACACGTAGGTACTTTCATAATCTGCGTTCACCTAGAATAAAGAGACAGAGAGACCAGGTGCTGATTAAAATATCAGTGTGAACAATGTAATGTAATGGTGTGTAATGATATACATCACTGTTCCTCAGAGTACTGACTGACTGAGTTTGGTTTTACGCTGCTTTTAGCAATATTCTAGCAACATCACGGCGGGGAACACCAGAAATGGGCATCACAAATTGTACCCTTGTGGGGATTCAAACCCGGGTCTTCGGCGTGACGAGCTAACGCTTTAACCACTAGGCTACCCCACCGCCCCGTTCCTCAGGGTAACAGGTGATGGAGATAGTAGTAGTAGTACCATGTGAATCACACAGAACAAAACTGATTGTACCACATCTGTGAGATGTTTAGTTTTACGCCACACTCAGCAATATTCCAGCTATATGGTAAATCAGTCACAGAACAATCCAGTGAAACAGCATGAGCATTCTGCTTAAACCCGATGACATGTGTCAACCAAGTCAGCGAGCCTGACCACCCGATCCCATTAGTCGCCTCTTACGACAAGCATGGGTTACTGAAGATCAATATTCTAACCCGGACCTTCACGGGTATCATCTGGATCAGTGAAGGGAGGATTACAGGAAGTGGTGGCACGCAGGAGTAGGGCTACTGGGCCACTGATGCTGAAAATAGCTATAACCATGAAGACTAATAATCAGTACATGAAGGAGAAAGATTTCTTATCTGTGACTGAATAGTATGTGCTGAGCAGGACATATTGTGACGTATCAGTCGTTGTTTGATCAGGAATCTTAAACTTGGGGAGTAAATAATGCAGTATACAATTTCATGGATAACAACTTCTTTAATGCATAGAGTGACATTTCAATGTAGAATCCTATTCTGTTATCAAGCTACAAGTGTTATCCATAAAGCCATATACTTCGTTATGTATCAGTCATGACTTTCTGACAACCTGGGCACAAGCCATTTACCTGCTATCCTAGAAACAGTGACATGAATTATCATTACATACTAACGAAAGGCATGAAAGACACATGCCCTTATGAATTCTATACAGTGTAGATAACCTACCTCTCCATTAGACCGAGTTGCCCCTGGGCACAGTGGGTTCTTTGGGTCATGTCTTGGCACCTTCTCCGCTTCCAGTTTTTCAACCTGTCCTTTCCATGGTCGCTTGGCGCGATGTGGGGACACCAGTACCCAGTCTCCACGGAGAGGGTTGAACCGTATATGCTGATGTTCTGAAAGAAGAGCATTGAGTTTTAAGTTAGTAGACTCAAAAATGATGTAATATCATTGTCCAGACAAAACATATCAATGTATATCAAATGTGTAAGATCGCTGTGAGGTTAAATCCAGGAAAACATCATATAATTATTACTGTCATCAAAAATATACTTGACAGACACTTAAGAAAGATGCTAGAATAGAAGAGATCTGTATTCATCTCCAGTAGAAATCACATCACACTAAGCACTGAGAATAGTCTTCTGTAAACATGGTAAAAGTACATGTTATGTAATGTATATAATTAATTTCTTTCAGGGGCCGTGAGGTAGCTTAATGGTTGAGCATCCACTCGTCATGCTGAAGACCTGGGTTCGATTCCACACATGGGTACAATGTGTGAAGCCCATTTCTGGTGTTCGTCGTGGTGATATTGCTGGAATATTGCTAAAAGCGTCGTAAAACCAAACTCACCCACTCACTTTTTTTCAGACTTGGCATGTAGATGCATATGCACCTACCCATGTCTTTAGTAATGGTATCTCAGCGATTGGGGATAATGGAACATGAAATGTTTGTATCTTTGATATGTGTGAGTGAGTGAGTGAGTTTAGTTTTACGCAGCACTCAGCAATATTCCAGCTCTATGGCGTCGGTCTGTAAATAATCGAATCTGGACCAGATAATCCAGTGATCAACTCTTTGATATGTAGCATGTGTATGACGTCCATCATGTGTATTCACTATGTAGTAATGCCATTGTATTTTGTGATAATAATGCTGGGTACATGTACCCATACATTTATTATTTATATTAAAATAACGATTCACGTTTATTCATAATACCTTGGTTGAGTTGATGTGCATAACTACTGCTGTCAGGGAACCAAAATTCGCACTTTGCAGATTATAGACTATCATCTTGACTAGTGTGACCTGAGTTTGGCACCATTCTCACTCCGTTGTGTGAAGTGACACCTATCAGGTGATTGAAGAATAAGGAATAATAATACAAGTTTAAACAATAACAAGCTGCAAGAAGTGTTTATATTGTTAGTTAATGCATTGGTGTTGCATTGGTGAACATCATATCACAGCAAACACATTATAACCCTTCAGAGAATTCTGGAGAAGGAATGGGTGATAACATATTTAGTCAATAAAATGTGAAGCTAGAGATACATCATTACTAGACAAGATGATTTACCTTTGAAATCGCAAGTTAACATTTGTCCTTTGAACAAAGTACATGATTTTTACAGAGGAATCTTCATGTCAAGATGTGGGTGTATTCTGTCTGCTTTAGTAAACCTACATAACGAGACTTACTTTTGACAACTATACTAATTGTCAGTTAATCCTTTGATCTATGCTTTTGCCTACTTCTCTTTCTACGCTTCATGTGCACTTTACATAACATGTAATTCATTCACCCCTCAATCTTAAATTGAATAATTATGACCAGACACAAGAGTGGAGTGAGTGGGTTTAGTTTTACGCTGCACTCAGCAATATTCCAGCTATATGGCGGCGGTCTGTAAACAATCGAGCCTGGACCAGACAATCCAGGGATCAACATCATGAACATCGATCTACGCATTTTGGACACGATGACGTGTCAACCCAGTCAGAAAGCCTGACCACCCCATCCCGTTAGTCGCCTTTTACGAGAAGCATGGGTTACTGAAGATCAATTCGAACGCAGACCTTCACGGGAGACAGTACCATGAATGAGTGCAATATTTCAGCCATATCATGACAACATTACACTACCATGACACCCTCAGGGACAGGGTTGAACATTATTCAAGTGAATGACAACAATTACACAGAGGTAAGGTTTACTGAAGAGAGTAGTACCGTTGCTGTATGAAATTTGCTTGCAAAACTGTTTGTTGCTGATTTGAGTACATAAACTGAATTTCATTATTACAACAATGAAAGAAATTAGGTTCACGTCTATGTTGTATTCTAAACTACATAACTGCATATACACATTTACACAAACAAATTTGCAAAGTTTTCATAAAGCTTCGTCAAGTCCTGTATACATGACATTTTTTATGGATAACAACTTTTTCTATTCTTTTATCCCAACATATTAGAGCTACTTCTGACTCCTTCATCAGGTGAATGCTGAGTAAGTGCAAAGAGTTCATGTATAATATATAAATGACAACACATGGTGGGATTAATGTACAAAGATAACAAAAAAATTATTATTATTTGCAAGTTAGTTACCGTAACAATTAATGTGAGGATTATGATACACAATACAGTAACAGTATTAATAATAATATTTAAGTGTCAGGGACCCCAAATGTGTTGCCCAGGACCCCTGAAAATTAAGAGCATGAGTCCCAGGGACCCTCAAATACATGACTCCATGTAAATCCCTGCAGGATTAATGTACAAGGCTATCAATATAATAACAAAAAAGATTATCAGGAGGGGGTTCAATTAAGTGTGCTGATATAGTGATGACGAGGAGTTGGCTTGTGACACAACCAATACGGCAATCAACAAGTGCATTGTGGTAGACGACATGATTATAGCACAGTGGAGTACACACTGCATAGGTAGATGCCTTGGTCTCTGTTGATGTGGTTAGCATCTTACTTCAGATTTCATTGCTCTCTTGATGTTTCCTCTTTTATCAATGATAGATGTCATCCAATCAAATGTGAAGAGATAAGGGGATTTCCCCTTTTGTCAACAAGGCCATCCTCTACTAGTTTGAAGCCCAGTCTTCTTGGGTCGTTGGAGCTAATTAGCATCATGGGATAATTAAAAAGCACCAGTGAGAAAATTGAAAGTTGGGTGTTGTTTTCCCTTAAGGAAATTATTAATCTTTCCCATAAGTCAATCCAATAAATTCGGTTTCCGTCACCTAGATGCAGCTCAGATATCAGAATGATGTATACTAGCCTTCAAAACTATGAAGGCAATCACACCATCTCACTATGTGATTGAATAACGGTAATTCATAACACTGCAAAAGCAAACATTATGCTGCCAAAATGAAACAGATTACAATAAATCTCATGCCCAGGTGGCATCAGATTATTATCATCTGGACTTGACTGATGACGAATACTACGTGAACATCGGTGGCATAACACGATGACGTTTGACTTACTTCTATTCAATCATGTTTCATCATCTCAATATTGACATATAAGTAAATACACGCTATGCTTCATTCACTGGGAGGCGCAAATCAGTTTTGTAATTATTAAACTAACCTATTGGATCAAAAGCAGACATTGTCTACCAGTATATTAAAATACACAGAATATGTCTTCGGGTGTGAATGCGAGAGAAGAGCCGGTGAGACTTCAAGGTCGGGTCAAAGGTAAATGTCGCGCACCTGTTCCGCTTCCTTTGCGCATGCTCTCTCAGAAAGCTTCCTAAGTTTCAAGATGGCGGCAATGTTTGTGGAATGTGTTTGATAGCATGGGTATCTAACGCGTTGGTGCGCAGCCATGGGATGAAACAACACAGGCAAACGTTTCTTCTGTTTTCCTTGAAATGAACAGAAAGGCATGTTTTGAAAAATGAAAATCACTCCCAGTGCATGATGTTTGATTACACACACGAGTGTTGAACTGCAAACAGTTGTTGAGTGCGACAGATCAGTTGCTCTGATTGACAGGAGATTATCCGAGATAATGAAAACATGCATATCATGTTGTGTGACATTAGGCAGCCTTTTACTCGTAGTGTCAACTTTGGTAGCATAGTGCAGATTCACTGAAGTATGTACAACTACAGTAAACCGAGAAGCAGATTTACAGTTGCAAAAGAGGTATGCGAATAATAAATGTCATGTCATATAATTTTAATGTTTCAATTCGAAGTATGTCTTGATTTGTGTTGTTGAGTTATCAGTTTCAATTTCTGACAGTGTACAAATGACTGTAATTAATAATAATAGATAATTGTCATTTCACAAATAACACGCCACATTTATATAAATGAATTGAAAGATAATCCCAAATACCAATATAACGGAAGCTGTAGGCTGTTATGACAACAAATGCTTGTGAGATGTAAATCATCATTATTGCAAATGTCTCATGTAGTTTCATCTTCTGATGTGTAAATATATATATATATTTTTAGGAGGCATGTGTTAGGATTGTTTAATTTGTAATTCACAAGAACCTTTTATCTCATGAAAATGAAATATCTGTGAATATACTATTATCATTTTTTTAAATTAGTGTGATTCTCATAAATCTTTAAGTTTGACAATCACTGATAGTCTTTAAATACCTATATCTATAGCAAAATGAGTGGAAATATTCATATTTTTAAATTTTTCTAGTCCTACATCATATTAATAATATTTCATTTCTCTTTTTTAATGTACCAGTACTATTTATACAGGAAATTATTTCACCAAATCAAAAGGTAAAAATATTTATCATCACATATTTAGAGTGACATGGCAAAAATCATCCATCTAACCCTGTACACTGACTTCACACCTGCATGGAGGCATTGTGGGAACGTCATGGCTTCAACACTGGCTTGGTTACACAATTATTGGCCAGTCAGTTCAAATAATGATAATGGCAATGAATATCATTGTTTTTATATGATTGTGTAGTTCTGCAAAATGTCAAAATTCTTTACCAAGTGCCAGCATGCCACTAAGGAGGTATGTTTCCCCACTAAGTGGTTGTCACAAAAAGCAGTATAAAATTAGGTCTTCACACTCTTATTATAGAGTCTTAATCACCCTAAACCTTTAACACTGTTTTTCAAAATATTATCCGTAATTAGTCCACTGTCATATGACTTTATCAATTCTGACACTAAGGTATGGTAAAGTCCACAATATGCACACAGTGCCCTGACAAGCTGGAAATCAACAAACAATATACACTTAAGGTTTCAAATTATAATCTTCAGCTTCAGCATACACACTGGAGTTATGAAATATTATTGACAATTTGTAAGAGCAGTCTCTTCAGTGTAAGACTGCCAAGTTTCAGATCCATGTAGTGCCTAACAATGTCTTAATTCATCATTTTTGAAACAACCTTCTGCTGAAAATGTAAGCATTTCTAGCTATTGAGCAATGTTGCTGACCAGCTAACTGACAGCATTTAACTGAGGTCACATCAACTAAATGTCTAATAATATCACATTGATCACAAGACTGCTGTTGTTCCCCTTCTCAAGTTTCACCTGATGCAGTAATACTCAGTAAATCATGTAAATACCATTGCCTGTGTTTTAGAATGTCACATAATCTTTAACTCTAAACAGTACATATTCCATTCAAGGAATAGGATAGTGCCCATTGCTTCACAAAATAATTCATGCTCTGAAATTCTCTGTAAAAATGATATACATGTATCTCAGCATTACAGGCTGACTGGAAGTCCTGACTATGCAGGTAGTGCACACAGATTGAGGTGAAAAAAAACCTAACAGAATTAATTTTCTTTGCAGTGACTTATTTTCAGTACTCATAATCAATTTAAGTTTATTTCTCAAAGTAAACAGTCTCTAACTAGTCTTTACCAGTGGTAAATAAGGTTTGAAGAATTGATCAACTGTTAAGCAAATCAAATAGGAAGAACTTCCATTGTATACTTAACAAACATTACCAGTCATTAAGGATTTGCCGCAATAGCTTTTGATAGCCCTGAACAATATTTAGCTGTCTTGGGCTACCTGACTATTGTAAATGTCAAGAATGTGTTAAGTAATGAAAGAATGTTATTTAAGACTTTTTTAAAAATGCAATCATTCACATAGCAACAGACATATGTAATGCCTGATATGGTTGCATAAAGCACAGTCATTAATGTTATGATCACAAAATAAGTATTGAGAACTGCTGTAAAAGTATATCATATTAACCCTTTTTATGATGTTGAGTATATACATGCCTTTTACATAGCCTGCTGTGTCCATGACTATAATGATAGCATCTCAGTTTATGGCAGATAATGGAACATGGATCTGTATTATGTGTATCTTGTACAAGATGTACAACTTATGTATTTTCAATATGTAGCAGGGCTCAATTTAAGAGATGTTCACCTACTTGCACCAGGTGCAACCTGAGATGAAAACCTAGTTGCACCGACCAAATTCCAATTGCACGGCTTTTATTGTGATATGTAATGAAAGAAATATGCTATTGAATTATCTAGATGTTTTATTCAGAGGTTTACCCACTCAAAAATTGGCTTGCACCTGGTGCCAGTTAGACTAATAACTAGTTTGCACTTTGCAATATTGGATTGCACCAGTGCAAGTAACAAAGCACTAAATCGAGCCCTGTGTAGGGATGTCATCGTTCATCGTGATATGAACGTATCGCTACACTTTTACTGTCAATATTTTATCAGTACAAATTAAGGAGTATCAGTACTAAATCAACTTAACTCACTGCCAGTGAAAAGTTTACTCATGTCAAAATAACCATGTTGAAGATAGACAGTGAGAAGGCTGAAAAGTTTAGACATTTTAGTGGAATCAGCATAGTTAGTATCATTTACATTAAATAGTGTAGAGGCAGATCTTCTTGTAAATTTGTATTTTTATCTGTACACATTGCAGAATAGCTAATTTAGTATTAATCAGTATACTAATATTTCTTGATGTATTTTTGTTTTGCTGATAATGTTGAAGTGGATGTATAAATGCTAAAATTCACAATCAATGAATCCCCAAGGTAAAGAATATTGGGCATTTGATAAATGTGGATATTAAACAGGTTAGTGGTGTGACTTTATGTGGTTGAAATAGCACAAGCATGCAAGTTTGATCTGATTGTTTCTTAAATCACACTAGAGTTCAAGTATGATCTATTTGCCATATAATCCTGATGATGAAAGGGGTTTAGGTATGATTTCAGTCCTTTTCGAGCTGGTGTTAAACATAAAATTCTTTTCATACATTTAAGTTGTGTCAGTATTGAGGCTTGTACAAAGTCCAGCTGTATTTCTACAATGCTTTGAACAATTATAAGTCAATTTAGAGTAGTGCCAAGTATTTATTTGAGGTAAATATTGACAGTATTATAGCATATGTTTGCTGTAATTCAATAGCATGAGATTGACAGAATGTTATGTTTTCATCTTACTGTACCAAGTATTTTCAGTTAAGGATTTTCAATTCCAGTCCATAGAAATAACTTGTTTGGATTAAGTTCTGCTTGAAATGACAGAACCCACTTCTTTGACAGGGTAATAAATAATGTAAGCACCTGCTAGACATGGGGGCATGTAAGCTGATATGACAGTTATAGTGTCACCAGCACACAGGACCATACACCACCTACTGGGGCAGACTGTAATCAGGCTCAGCCCAGATTGACAGCAGTTGGATTAGGACCTTACCTCAGTGTTAGGATCTAGTTATGTATAGAATAGTTACAGTAACTGAAAATGTCATGAATATGTTAATACCCAGATATCAAAAGTATAAACCTAAATTCTACAAGACATTTTTTTCTAATATCATTTATTTGTGGCATACAATCCCCTACTGTCAAAGACTCCAAGCATGTTGAGGGAGGTAATAACTGATACAGATATTAATAATAATAATAATAATAATTGGCTTGTATAGCGCGCCTAGTTTCCATCATAGATGCTCAACGGCGCTGCATACATCGTTAAAAACACAAAAAGTGTGAAAAGAGTCCTTTGTAAGGACTAGGAAACTTCAAATCACTCTGCAGAGTTACTATCCTGTGCTTTACAAGGATTTGCTTTACATGGGTTCAGATGAAATTCAAATCATGGTGGCTCGTCAGCTTCCATCCCAGTGATTGTTTGAAAGCATGGTAACAGTAACACCATTTATGTTTTTTCCAAAGCTAACCAGCAGTGCTCTCTTCCAGGCCTGATATCTGGAATACTGGTCAAAGCAACATGATAAGGAAAATGATTTCTAAGTATACATCAGAAGCTCTGTTAGCCTTGCTGTAATGAGTTTACCATTGGCATACCTTCATGTCTAAAACAGAATTGTCTTATGTAAGGCTGGGACAGGTTCAGATTTTCTAACCCCCACCTTCTATTACCCAACCCTACCCTGATACCCGTTATGTTAATTCCTGACATCAAGTTTGTTAGAAATGGCAATATATTCCTCAGCTCTGAGGCTAAAATTTCAAGTTTTTCAATATCTTAGCTATGTATTATATTCAAAACAGTTGACTGTAAATTATGTCTAAATCTTGACAGACATGATACAACCTTTTAATCATGATTGAGTGAGTGAGTTTAGTTTTACGCCGCACTCAGCAATATTCCAGCTATATGGCAGCGGTCTGTAAATAATTCAAGTGAAAGACAACGTTACAATGTTTAATCTGTTAGTCATATGATGGTAACGGGTCCGGGTACTGAGACGGACATCCGGGTCCAACTCATTATCCGGGTTACCCGTCCCAGCCCTAGATTTTTATGTCTAGATAATCGAGTTTGGGTGAACAAGGTTCCATGTCTACCCAAACTTCTAGTTTGACAAGAACGTTGCTGATGTGTATTTCGACCTGATTAAAGATGCCATCAGTGACGTGGTTATTTCTTGTGACCAAGAGTGGTCAATGATCCGATCCCTGGCTGCATTATCCCAACAGAAACATGGTACTTGATGTTACCTTGCCTGGCGCTCAGCATTAAGGGGATGATATAAAGACTTGTTCTCTTCTACATCTGTATCAAGTACTGAGTGTGGTAGCCATGTTATACTGTGACATGGTATCTCTATGGCAGAAGATACAACGTCCATACAAGTACAAGCAGGCACACATACATACTTGTACATGTACAATAATCTCAAATGTGGTATTAACCCCTATTTCACCTTTATCCTCATCAACTTTGGAATTTGTATTGTTATTATTATTGTCAATTTTAGGAGGTTTATTTGATTTGTATTTGTTTGTGTTTCAGTGATTACATCTGTGAAAGTGTCAGGTTAATGTGAATCTTTACTTTGTTCTCTACCTTGTTATACATTTCCATATTTCTATTATGCATGCATTCATTATCATGAGTATGCTTTGCCAGCTATGTTACATCTTTGTACGCCATTTTCACACACCTTAGACCTTACTGCTTTCCTCTCTCAGTGACAAATAATTACTGAGTCAGTCAGTTGCAGATCCTGAAAGACTGTTTACATGTTTGGCCTTTTCATCAATATTTACTTTTTACGTCTTTCTGTCCTCAGTCATGCCCATTGATCAAATAGTGGGAGTTGTTTCTATCATATATATATATATATATAGTTAACTTCAAACATGTGAAAGCGTTAATGTCAAATTATTAAAATTATGATACCATAGTGATTATCATTTTATTAAATAACTATTAAAATCAATATTCAACCTTTTTAGCTCAACAGAAAAAAAATTATTTATGTGTTCAACTGTTGAAAGGTAATGATGAAAATACCAATTATATTTCAATAAAACTGCCACTAAGTAATCAGAGCTTGTCTGTGCATTATACTTGTAGTTTCTACACTCAGACTAACTGGACACTGCTTGTACTTGATGCAGTTACATTGGCAGGAGACAGTCAATGGTTGACCCTGGAATATTGATTTGGTATATACCTATGTGCTATGTAGAGTATCGATAACTGATATTATCAAATACAAGAATGTGATGTGAAGAATGAAGTAGGAATCGTATGTCCTTGATGAACACTTATAGCAGGCAGATGCTGTCTGTAATAATATGAATGTGGTTGTATGGAGTTAAAAGGAGTAGTATAGTCACTTTTATATGTTTTTGAATCATTTTCTTGCAGTCTTTGAATTTGGATTTTGAAAAGACCAACTCATGTGTTGGATGTTTGTTGAAATGAATGTTAAACATTACTTTTTAGGAAATTATCTCAAATAATCTTTCACAACATTTTATATTTTGCTTGCTGCCTAGGCTTAGTGTTAGTAGAAACAGAAATGCAGGGCACTGACCAATTTTAGATTTGGCTATATTTTAGTTTTCTTTCTAGACCAAAATCTAGAATCCTGAATCCCTGTGTCTCTTTGATATATATATTCTTTACTGTCAAAGGCTGCTGTTTTAGGGTCAACACCTGTCTCTCCTCCTCCTCCTGCTCCGCTCTATTAACCCCACCCTGCTGTCTGTGCAGTACTAACTGTGTATAACATGCATGTGTTACAGACCCAGGTAATATCCTCTACTCTCTCACTCCAAGTACTCCCTACTAGCACCTCTTTCACCAGAGAACCCCGCCTCCAGGTGAGTGACACACCTGCATTAATTACCTCACTCACCTGCACAAAGACTTTCTTTCCAGGGACTGTGACATATAGACAAGATGTAACTTGTTAATGGTGTCTTCTCAATTCTTTTGAAACCTCGTTTTAAAAAACTTATTTTGCTGTATTTTCAGCTCTCCTGTGATGAAATTTGTGAGCTTAAGTCATGGCCTCATGTAAATATCTTCTTTTGAGGATCCACCTGAAGATGAAAACTTCAGATGCTTGTTCCCACTAATGATAACACCTGACTAAATTTGTCAAAATATTCCAGTATGATTTTCAAAATGGCCACTGTGGCTACCATGTTGAAAAATCTATTAATAGACACTATTCTTTTCTTTCTAAATGTAAGGAAATTGGCATGGTATGTAGTTAAAAGTTTGGTACAAGCATGTTATATATTTCATGATGGTTTAAATCTTGACCTTGATTTGATATTTTCAAATTGGTCACCACTGCATTCTTAAAGCTGTTTATAGCCACTCTTCAGCTATTATAGCTAAGCTGCTCAGCATTCGCTCTCGATCTCGCCAAAGGCCCGAGTTTGATCCCCAAATGGGTTAATAAAACTAAACTCACTCACCATAGCTGCTCTGATGTACTGTTATTCTCTGAAGTACTGTTATTCTCTGAAGTACTGTTATTCTCTGAAGTACTGTTATTCTCTGAAGTACTGTTATTCTCTGAAGTACTGTTATCCACCAAACAAACATGATAGTGATTCATTTTGGAAACTGCTCTGTAACTAAACAAATCAATTAGAACAATTTATATTTTGAAGGCTGTAGACTTCTATCCTCTAATTATCCAGGGATCATGGTAGAAATAACCTGAAGTTTTCTCCTTGGGATTAAGAATAGTTTCTTAGATTTGTAGACTGTTGATACTGATAATACTATCTGTAGGAGAGAAACAGACAATATTTCAGCAGTGGAGTACTGATTAATTTTAGACTCAAACATGTAACTGTAATGAAGTAATAGCATCATCTGTCTGTAGTAAATGTAGTAAAACTTTCCTGATCATTTTGATTTTGAGGTAGTTAGCTCAGAATGTTCTTGTGGTCAAAGTCATTTACATTGCTGTATGAAGATGAGCAGGTGGTGTGTTTCTGGGAGATGCTGCTTCACTGTCCCTGTGTTTGTTTCAGCACCTCGCCGGTCCCGGGGGTCACCCCGACCCCACCACAGTTGTGTTCCGACAGACCCACTCCAACGACATTGCGATGAGACGCTACAACCAGCCAGCTGACTTCACCCTCAATAACTTTGCAGGTGAGACATACTGCCAGCTACTTGCCGAGTCCTTGAGGCCATAAGGAATTGGGAGATTGGTATAGAATTCTGTCTTGTCAGCAAAAGTGGGGGTGGCATGTTGCTGTTTGAAAACATTTGTTTCTTTTTAAAAGAAGATGCTGAACAAGACTGGATTATTGGTTGAGTGGTTTGAAATTTGTCCTCCCTCAAGAACTTGTTGCTTTAACGAGTTCAAGAAGAGGTGATACTTGTATTTATACTGTGTTAGCAGGCCATGGCCCAACATGTAACCCTTAGATCCCTGTCATCAGTACTGACGAGGTAAACTAACTATCAGTATTATGATACCAAGGGTTGGATATAGGTATGATATTAACATTTAGGGTGGAAACATGCCATTAGGACACAAAATGAATGAATTACTAGATTATATTTATTTTTATTTTTAAAATGTGAGGCGGGAAGTATACAAACTGGTCAACGTGTGTTCAAGATGTGTGTGTCATCAGATGTGATTCACATGAAACATGAATGTTGTTTCTCATCAGGTAACCATGGTAATGAAACATGAATGTTGTTTCTCATCAGGTAACCATGGTAATGAAACATGAATGTTGTTTCTCATCAGGTAACCATGGTAATGAAACATGAATGTTGTTTCTCATCAGGTAACCATGGTAATGAAACATGGTGACACACATATTGATTCTATTTGTACGTGTAGGGGGACAATACTGTGAATGAATGAGTGAGTGAGTTGGGTTTGATGCTGATTTGAACAGTATTTCAGTTCTACACGGCATGTCAGCTTGAAGAGTGTGGAAGGTCCAAAGTGATGCGTGTTTTCAGCTCGACCATCCACCCATGAATACTTATAAACCTTAAAACATAGGTTTGTTCTAGTAGTGAAGTAGGTGAGAATTAACATGTTATAATCAGTTATATAATGATATTACACCTCTGTTCATCTGATTGTCAGTGCTGTAGACAGTGTTCATAACAATTCTTCGAACACGGGAGTTAACCATTACCTATTCTTCAATATCTGTGATCGTTATAAACTTTACCTCTTACATGTGTGAACACAAGAGTGTACTAGACAGTCTAGTTTGTTTTCTGAAAATGTAAAATGTGTTCCAGAAAATCAGAGAAATGATGCTAATTCATTATCAAAGATGAAACGTAAGTATATTTGAGTGACACACGCATCCTCACGTCTCTTGTGTGGTTCCTGGTTATTAAACACAAAAACCAATACAATTTATGACAGCTGTGACACCATTTATCAGTTACAGGTAGATATGTCCTGACAACAACTTTTGACAGGATTTGTAGCATTGGTAGTTGATGTCTGGTTGAGACAAGGCAGCATATCAGTTTTCAAACTTAGGGCAGTCTTGGGTTCTTGCAGATTGCTCTTATAATATTTGTATCTAGGACCCCCTGAAATCTCTAAATGATAATGTTAGAGTTATGACAAGGACCCTTTCAAACACTGTCTGTAAATAACGGTGATTCTCATCACCAATATAACAATGCTGGAGGACAGATGCAACATCTCTTGTTGACATGAATTAGTGTTGTTAAGTATTGTACACATGGTATATATGCTATAATGTTTTCAGACAAAATCCTGGCTGCTAATAGCTTCAGTGTTTGCAAATAATAATAAAAAATTCACTCACTCACCCTGGTTGGCGTGATCACTAGTTGGTGAATATTGCCGTAATTCTGGATTAGGCAACATATGTGCATGAACAACCCCTCAGATATGAGGTGTTAGTTGATGGCCTTATATTTTTTTGTATTATCATATAGCCATTGCTTTTGATAATAAAACTGACATGAGCTTCATGGTGTTTACATTCTGCTTCAGCCGTATACCTGCATGTTGTAGTGGTGTTGTATAACTATATGACTGTATACACCACTACCATGACTACCTGTAATTAAACATTACCTGAAGTATATAGATGTTGTTTCTCTTTTATCACATACTTATATTTGTTACACTAATATTTGACACATGTAATAACATCAATATAATATATATAATATAATGTCACAGCCAAATATACAGCAGGTGATTGGCTCCTGATAAGTTTTTTAAAAAACATAGGTGTCATGCAATGCATATACATGGGACTTGTGATGTGACAACATTCAACAACAGATGTAATGATGATGATCACATCAGTGTTGAGTACATTGAGGACAGACTACCCCACTGTAGACGGTTCAAGCCCGGGAAGTCGACAAATGAAGATTTACCACCCAAAATTAGTGTCGACTCTGCGGGCATCGCGGACTATTGTTGCGCTTGGCTGGTTTCACCAACTCAACTGAGGAGCATTACCGATGGCGTCTACCCAAACGTCTTCAACTTTGTCCTCGGGCACGAGGGGAAGTGCAGCCACTCGTCTCACAAGCTTGGTTACATCCTCAACGTGTTTGTATTCAGTTGCTAGTCCGATATTTTGGACTAGCTTCTTCTTATCCATTGTGAAGTGACTTCTGGATATGTGATCTATACCATTCAGGTGGAACCTGTGTCGCCCAGTGCTGTGAGAGATTACCAGCCTGCCACAAAATTTCATTTGTCGACTTCCCGGGCGGACACCCTGTAGACAATATACCCCCATCCCTTAGAGCTTCCTGCCACAGAGGGATTGGTAGCATTAACACTGACATGGTTTTGAATGTATTGTTGAGGTGTGGATTTGTTACATGGCTGAATCTCAGCAAGTGTGTAGTGACATTTAGTGAGTATGTTTGCACATGTTGTTGTTTGAATGCACCCACATGCATGTGTTCTATACTCAAGGTTGAGCATGTCAAACAACTGACCCTCAATACACCCAAACCACTCCTTAATACCCTCAAACCTACCCTTAGTACACTCGGTCCGACTCGTAATACACACAATTCTACCCTAATACACACCGTCCTGCCATTGATACACACAGTCCTGCCATTGATACACACAGTCCTGCCATTGATACACACCGTCCTGCCATTGATACACACAGTCCTACCATTGATACACACAGTCCTGCCATTGATACACAGTCCTGCCATTGATACACACCGTCCTGCCATTGATACACACCATCCTGCCATTGATACACACCGTCCTGCCATTGATACACACCGTCCTACCATTGATACACACCATCCTGCCATTGATACACACAGTACTGCCATTGATACACACCGTCCTACCATTGATACACACTGTCCTGCCATTGATACACAGTCCTGCCATTGATACACCCAGTACTGCCATTGATACACACCGTCCTGCCATTGATACACACTGTCCTGCCATTGATACACACTGTCCTGCCATTGATACACAGTCCTGCCATTGATACACCAAGTACGGCCATTGATACACACCGTCCTGCCATTGTTACACACCGTCCTACCATTGACACACAGTCCTGCCATTGATATCCACACCGTCCTGCCATTGATACACAGTCCTGCCATTGATACACACAGTCCTGCCATTGATACACACCGTCCTGCCATTGATACACACAGTCCTGCCATTGATACACACTGTCCTGCCATTGATACACACCGTCCTGCCATTGATACACACCGTCCTGCCATTGATACACACCATCCTGCCATTGATACACACCGTCCTGCCATTGATACACCCAGTCCTCCCATTGATACACACCATCCTGCCATTGATACACACCGTCCTACCATTGACACACCGTCCTACCATTGATGCACACAGTCCTGCCATTGATACAAACAGTCCTGCCATTGATACACACAGTCCTGCCATTGATACACACAGTCCTGCCATTGATACACACCGTCCTACCATTGATACACACTGTCCTGCCATTGATACACAGTCCTGCCATTGATACACCCAGTACTGCCATTGATACACACCGTCCTGCCATTGATACACACTGTGCTGCCATTGATACACAGTCCTGCCATTGATACACCAAGTACGGCCATTGATACACACCGTCCTGCCATTGTTACACACCGTCCTACCATTGACACACAGTCCTGCCATTGATGCACACAGTCCTGCCATTGATACAAACAGTCCTGCCATTGATACACACCGTCCTGCCATTGGTACACACAGTCCTGCCATTGATACACCGTCCTGCCATTGATACACACAGTCCTGCCATTGATACACACCGTCCTGCCATTGATACACACAGTCCTGCCATTGATACACACTGTCCTGCCATTGATACACACAGTCCTGCCATTGATATACACCGTCCTGCCATTGATACACACCATCCTGCCATTGATACACACCGTCCTGCCATTGATACACCCAGTCCTCCCATTGATACACACCATCCTGCCATTGATACACACCGTCCTACCATTGACACACCATCCTACCATTGATGCACACAGTCCTGCCATTGATACAAACAGTCCTGCCATTGATACACACCGTCCTGCCATTGGTGCACACAGTCCTGCCATTGATACACACCATCCTGCCATTGATACACACCGGCCTGCCATTGATACACACCGTCCTGTCATTATCCGTCCTGCCATTGATACACACAGTCCTGCTATTGATACACACAGTCCTACCATTGATACACACCGTCCTGCCATTGATACACACCGTCCTGCCATTGATACACACCGTCCTGCCATTGATACACACCATCCTGCCATCGATACCCACCGTACTGCCACTGATACACACAGTCCTCCCATTGATACACACCATCCTGCCATTGATACACACCGTCCTGCCATTGATACATACCTTCCTGCCATTGATACACACCATCCTGCCATTGATACACAGTCCTGCCATTGATGCACACCGTCCTGCCATTGATACACACCGTCCTGCCATTGATACGCACCATCCTGCCATCGATACCCACCGTACTGCCACTGATACACACAGTCCTCCCATTGATACACACCATCCTGCCATTGATACATACCTTCCTGCCATTGATACACACCATCCTGCCATTGATACACAGTCC